GTGTACAGAAATGGCCGAGCGCCAAAGTGCTGTGCAACCGGGCCCGCGTTGCAAGGTTGTCTGCCGTCCTTTGGCATACACGGAGAGCGGCGTTCGCCTACCGTAGCGTTCGCCAGCACACGGTTGATCACAGAGTGGCTGCGCAAGGCCCGCACCGCGCTGGACCAGGAAGACGCTGAATGCGTCATCTATACAGGATTAGTGGAGCTGGCAAGCTGTTTTAGTTAGACGGAGACTTCTGCTTGTTTAAGGAGAAAACATCCGAGCTTTTTCGTACGTCCATTATCTAGAAGCACTCAGCTTTTTAGAGAACCAGTCCGTGTTTTGAAACTACCGACAATGATAAGAAACCACTCGTCCACGCGACTGAGAACCAGACTTGCAAAATAGGCAACACGGAGCAACTGTTCTGGGGTAAAAACTATCCCAGCTATGGCTCATTGATTGTATTAGGCAGAACGAAACAACTCAGCGGGGGACGTACCAGCGTGATTATATGCTAAAAACGCATTCGCATCCAAAACATTGTTGACTGCATACCAAGAGTCACCGTGAATTTACAGAACAAATAACTTCCAACATCTTAATGAAACTCCTCTTTCCATATAAGCAAAGCTTCATCTAGACTAGCCACACAATACCACAGACATAAAGATATAATAATTTCCATTCCACATGCTACCGATTTCTTGCCATCCCAATCTGTAATAGAAATATCTAGGATGTGTCAAATATCATCTCCTTCTTTGGAACGGCTGAAAAAATAAAGCCTCAGGGGGTGAAGAATGAGATCAGAGATGTTAGCAAACTATCGAATAACGGTATACCTTTTTATGGATGACGGCACTACTAGCCCTATTGGTCGTGGAATACAGGAAAATAAGGGCCATATGTGATGTTTCGGCTCCATACTTAATCGAAACCATTATCAGTAGCAAAAAGTTTTAACTTGCTTAGGCCTAACTTCAGCTGTGCCTCTGGTCAAGGTGAAGTTATTGCCCCCACGGTCTGCTAAGTTCACCTGTGCCTTTGGTGCTGGTGACGTTATTACTCCCCCGGTCTGCTTCGTTAAGCTATGGCCCAGGCCCCAGCAACGTCCTACGGTCCCCTTTACTGGGGTCATTGGGTAACCTCACACCGCTGGTGGTACGATAGACAGGTAAAACAACGAGGTAAAACAAAAATACCTATTGAGATTCCACATAAGTGGGCTTGACCCATGTAATAATGAAAAGTCGCTTCGTATGCCTGTTATTTGGGCAGCAGTTGACTTTCGCACGCAAGTTTGCAAAAAAAATAGCTTGAAGATTGACTGGCTTCGTGTCTGGAAAGCAGATTTGTGTTCGACTTTGGGTCAAGACAGTCGACACTGGAGTCCCCAAACGTTCATGGAAAAGATGGAATCCGTTTTTGAGGACATTTCTCGACTGGGGCCGGAGCTGAGTTCAACTACTCGTAGGCGAGTTGCCTCGCGTGAATGCCCAGTGACACCAATAATATGGGTCTATATGCGGGTCGAACAGAACACAGCAATGCATAGCTGCCACATTAACTGTCGTTCCGGAAACTACCCACCAGAGTGGGCTCTCGAATTGAGCCATTCATCCTTGAGGCGGAATCAGAATCTCCTCGGAGTCTTCTCGTATGATGCTCCCGCTGCTCATTTACGAAACGGGGGTGCACTGATGGGCGCGTCCTGACTCGCCTAAAATGCCAAGAAGCCTTATTCTCTATATGTTGTCTGTACGAGTGTCCATAGAACATTGTGATTTGATGACCGGGCGAACTGGTCAGACCCGACCCCAGACCCAGATCCAGATCCAGATCCAGACCCAGACCCAGGCCCAGACCCAGGCCCAGGCCCAGGCCCAGGCCCAGGCCCAGGCCCAGGCCCAGGCCCAGACCCGACCCTCCCCTTCCTGATGTTTTGGGAAGGTTATCGCATCAACCCATACAGACCCGAACGCATCCCTCCTGATGTTTTGGGAAGATTACCGCATCAACCCATACTTGTACTTGTTCCTTTGACAGAGGACAGTCCAATCACATAAAATGACGCTGTAATTAAGATGCCTCATGTATGTTAATGATTGTTTTTTTGGAAACGGCTTTTTGAAAATTTATGTTCATGTTTCGAATGTATTATGTCAACACTAATGCTGCAATGCGCACACGTAGAGTTTGTGCGGCGCACCATGAACAAAAACGCTCATTGCTGACTAGCGCCAACTAGCGTGCTAGCGACAACTAGCGTGTAGTTCTCAATAAAACGCACGACCACCTCTGGGTGAAAAGTCATGCAAAAAACATCATCAGGCTGTTAGTCTAACTCTCAGGTGCTCAAAACTAGCAAGGAAAAAATTGCTGAGTGATTTATTTCCCATGTCGATGAATTTCAGTGTATTACGAATGCTGGATTCTTTTGTGTTTTTCGCTAGCTATGGGTCTTCAAGAGGCGCTACTGATTGCCCTCACATTCTCGCGTCTCGTCTCTGCTTTCTGGCATGGAGTACCACGACCGACAAAAATACCTTTCCTAGTATACAGCAAAGTCGCACCACTCCAGCGTCACCTACCAGGCATTACAGAGCAGTGTTGGAAAACTTGACATTCCCTGGTATAACGTATACCAGATTTTGTACTCCAGGATTGAGATTAGGCAGAATGAAATATTTTGTACTCAATCATGATGCAACAAAAACATTTTTTGAACAGTCACTATCTCCCTGTTTTAAGGACAAAATTAAACCACAAGGTGCAACAGCTTGAGACTTGCTGCTTCCATCATGAGCAATGCATTGATATCTGCAAGAGCACAAATCTTGGACCTACCAGACTAAGGTGCCCAATACCAAGCAGCCTGTGTTGCCACCTACGTATATGATAAATCATGTATGGAAATGTGAAAGTGTGTGACTATTGAATTTAATTGTTTTTTTTAGCAATACTGGGAAATGCGAAACGGGTAGCAGAATCGTACCGGCCTGTAGATTAGCAAAGCTCTCACTTCTTACGCCCTACACAGACCAACTCAAACTCGAACAAACTTAACCTTCCATTGACGACGAACCGCATTAATTGCCAAGGATGCAACGAACGGTCATAGAAAACCACACAACCAAGCACCTACCACAGACGGCCGCTTACTCACGCGCCACCACTGAGTCATGGCAATGCAAATATCATTCGCGCTTCGGCGTCGGAAACGTATCAACTATTCAGCGGCTTGCGCCCGCCTCCCATCTCAGGTTGGAGGTTGAACATAGCAAAACTCTCCAATTGGTTTTAATGATTCGCCTCCTGGTGACCTCCTCCTTGTGACGTGACTGAAATTCGCCTCCTCACCTCCTCGTGCCTGTCGTCAATTTTGATGTTGTCAAGAGCATAAATATTCTGCTCGCGCTCATGCCCTCCAACAGATTTGTAAACAGTTGGAGGAAAGCTGTATAGAGATGGGCATCACGATCATGACGAAGGGTTTATAAGAATTAATGCGGCTTATAAGAATTAATGCAGAACCGTCCTGTGGTTGGATTTTTGGCCATTTCCTGGTATTCGGAGTACGCAAAATGTAACGGCAGCTGGGGATTTAAGCCACGTTAAATGTCACTTTCAGCGTGTGAATTAAACGCTGGTAATTTAGGCTTCACATAAATATACTTTTAAGTCCGAAACCGTTGTTGTAAATGGTAAAAACCCGTTCGGAGACAGCCATCTCACTCCGGCAAAAACACCAGGACACCAGAATAACATGCACCCATATCTTTGGCCCGGCAAATTAAGGAGGTTTTATTAGGACAGAACCATCAATGAATTGCAACATAAATTATGATATTTCGCAATGATATGGGTTGCAGCACATCACAATCCATAAATACATTGTTTCATTCGCCGGGGTCAGCGGAGTGACTGACTCCGATCCCTTTTGGCCGGCCTGGACGGGTCCGTCAGGCGTTGCACTAGCCCTGGCTCGGTAAATCGCTTAAGAGTGCTTGCTGCCTGTCTCTATTATTCGGCTGTGACGTGCTGGCCTCATGTGTTAGGAAGGTGGAGGGCATGTTTTGCCGCTTTTAAAACCAGTTAGCTGGTGGAGCGTGCGTAGCGTGACCGTGGTGGAGAGTGAGTAGCGTGATCGTGGTTGAGCGTAAGTAGGTGGCTGAGGCACGTTCATTTGCATTTTTGTGTACCATTTTTCTCTGGCTGTGCGTATCATAGCCACCCTCCATGTTGAAGGGTGTTGAAGCCCGGTGCGTAACCACCCACCGTTTTAGAGGGCGGTTACCACACACAGCCTGTCATAAATTGCAAACTCATATATATATATATATATATATATATATATATATATATATATATATATATATATATACACCTGTGTTTCCTAGTACAGAGCACGAGAGCATGTTGTTTCGGTGTACCATGTTTAACACTGTTTCCTTCTACTTTAAGTGCCTTTACATGAATTGCTGTATATGAAAAGTGGTGCTTTTGGTGAGCACCACCCATTGTACTGCTATTTCTCAAAGATAATATAAATAAAATTGTAATGACCCGCTGCAATCGGATATTTTTGTACTCCACTTGAGAAAATTTGTACTCCGCTACCAGTTTTTTTTAAAATTTCAAACACTGTTACCGAGACTATGACCAGCCAGACCGATTTTCGCGCTTGCTGGAAGACGGTCGGCGAAGAGTCTACACATAACGCTCATTCTGTGCCGAAGGCGCAAACCATTTAACGTGTTTAGTCACTCCCACAATTGTAACGGGACGTTTACAACGCTGGCAGACATACATGCGCCTGGAGTTTCCAAACCATTCGTCCAATACTTTTACGTACCACCCAGATCATTTCCCCGACATGAATTAAAAAAAACCGTTATTTCGCAATGGTTAAATGTACTCGTAACACAGCGGGTTCGTTCCACCACCTCACCGCAGAACGCAACAGCAATTAACAGGACCCCTTTCTCCTTCTCCATCCCGTACTCGGTACTCACCAAGAGAGAGGGCCTTGGTCCAGGGCTGCACCGCGCCGTGCGCGTGCACCTCTGCCAACTTGCGCGGGTCGGCCACGTGGACCCGGCCCAGCCGAGGCTTGACCCAGGTCACCGGCTCCGGGGTCGGTGGCGGCGTCAACAGACAGGACGGCGGCGAAGGTGACGCCGGCAGCGGCAGCAGCGGCAGCAGCGGCAGCAGCGGCAGCGTCTGCTGCTGCGGCGGCGGCACAGACGGCAGCGACGTCTGCGCCGGCGGGTGCGGCAGCAGCGACGGCATCGACGTCGGCAGCAGCGGCGCGGACGGCAGCATCGGCGGCAGCAGCGGCGCTGGCGGTGGGGCGCCGTCCGGGTACACGCTGCGCGGCGGCGCCAAATCAGCATGCCGAACGCCTCGGCACCAGTCACCGCCATCCGACAAGTCCAAATGCCTGGTTGCTTTTCCAGGTTTTGTGATGCTGGGAGACTTTCCCTAAAAGTCAACCCGACAGCACGGATAGTTTTGCTCTCAAACGTACTCCACCGCAAGTTCTGATGAACTTCACCGTTTGTTTGAGGTCATTACCAGCGAGCAGTAACAGCTGAACCCATCCATTCACAGCTACTGGACGCCAGCGTGATATCGCGCCCACGCTGAATCGAGTCTACGCACATCAAGAAGTGTCATGTGAGCTGTGCGCACGTGGAAGATGCTGGCGTATAACACCTCGTCGCATTGAGTTGGTGCCCAGGTATTTTCTGGGGATGCGTTGATGATGATGATGATGATGATGATGATGATGATGATAATGATAACCATGATGATTTGGGCTTTGGGGCGCACAGACCACGTTGGTCATATGGCGCCTCTGGGGATGCGTTGAGTTGAGGTCGTTAACGTAATAAATTTGGGTGTTTTAAAGCAGCGTGCGTATTTTGTAATTTAACTTATCTATTGAAAACTTCTCTGGAAATGCACGCATACGCAGACATCCACCTCCTATACGTTTGGTGAATTGGTGAATAATCCTACACCTTGTTCTAGTAGTCTTCGGTTCAGGAACTAAAGCTCTGACCTTGAGACGTAGCCATCCGGCCCCGCCATGTACACGGTGCTGTAGTACTGCGGCAGATGGACGTATCCACGTGAGATCGGGACCATGTCCGGTCCCACGGGGACGACGTAAACGGCGTTCGTCATCTGAAAGGGCGCGCCGTCAGAGGCGCGAACCAGTACAGGACGCGGGCCGGACACCGTCCGCAGCATCGGTAACACAGGCGAGGACCAATGTTACCTACAGTTTAACACAGATATAGCAAGACAGACGAATGCGGCGGGCGCTCAGTCAATATAAAGGGACGCCTCACAAATCACAATCAAATCACAATTAAAGACGACCGAAGCAGACGCCAGGTCTCCGACGGTTCCCTCAACTAGCGTCAGCACGCACATCAACACGTTAGAGCGGGGATCAGGCGATCCATATCTCGGTCTTGAGTCGCGGGGAGCAGGCGTCCGGTGCCGTGAACACCGGCCCCGGACTGACCCGCCACACAGGCGCTGTATGGCCGCGCTGGCCACAGCGACCGGAACACCAGTTACAACTGCTGTGACACAGACGCAGCCGGCACCAGCCCGCGGTTACTGCAACGATCCGACTCAGAAGTGACTACTAGCTTCCATCAAGCTGCCAAGCCTTAGGACTCTTAACATAATAGGTGGCTACCCTGTAACCCTTGCGAATTCACTCGCCCTCGCCCGTCTCCGCCTCCAAAAGTAGGTGAACGAACAGCGAATGGTTGTCAAGCCAAGTGGCGGCAGCGAGAAGCCCACGTGGGGCGCTCGCGCAACACAAATTCCTGAATGACTTGTCTTCCTTGCCTGTCCGCTTACGGCGATGCCGTAAGCGTGCAAATCACGCAACCCACTCAACGAGCCCGGGGAAGCCATCAGCTTGTGCAGCTCGTCACGCCAATTCACACACTCATTTAACACATTTTTGAGATTTTTTCAATGATGATGTAACTAGCACGAGGTTTTCAGAGTGGCTTACCTTAAACTACGAGCATGGTCTCACAATAGCCCGAGCGGAGTTGTCAATAACTTGGCATATCAGGCACAAGAACACGTGGTCACAGCTTACGCCGACAGCGCTGGGCCCTTTCCCGAACCAACGTCGATCGCAAATTCAGATGCAATTTGCGGTTCAGGTGACCGTGAACACGCCCAAAGTGGGGGCCTAATCCCTCCCCTCCCCTCCCTATGGCCGTGTGTACGCACACTACAAAACGGAGGGCGGTTACGCCACTCCATTTTGGTGAGTGGCTACGCACTGGACTTCCAAAATGAGGCTGGAAACGTAGAAGACCGACACACCCTCGAAAAATTAAAAATCCTGGATATCCTATAGACCCCCACTCATTAGCCATGAAGTCAGGTCTCCAAATGGTCTTCTGTGATCGCCAGAACGCCGCCAGTGATGCCCACCCAGCCACGCAGAGCAAGCGTCTAGTTTCGTCATTACGGTGCCTTACTACGCGGGCGCCGTCAGCGCGCATGCAAATATTGCTAACCAACTTCCGTGGGTGGTAAGAAGTGAGAAATGAGCACTGTTCGCTACAAATGAACGTACTTTATACTATCAACTGTCCAACTGTTCAGTTCTTAGAATCATGGAGTAGGGTCTAAGCTGTAACCAATATGCTAAGACTTGTCCTGCAGTGTCTGAAATTTCGGTGCTTCTTGGTGTTCTTGACCCTAAGACATTACAGAATACGGACAATTACTCTGTGTGCAACGTAGGATGGAAGCGAGCTATTCTTGAAACTTCGACACCCTCGAGTGCCACACTCTCCACGACTACATGAGATATTGCTTGCGAGTTTCAGCCAAATCTTTTAATCATATCAAACACAATTTTTCCTTTCGATGCACTCAGTGCCCAGGCTCGTTGCTCCTCACCAGCACACGTGCAACCTCCCTACTGTCCCCACCGACACTCCCGCGCTCAGGACGCCGTGCTCAGAGCCCGCCCTCAAACAATAACCGCCTCTCCTGACAGGGCCGATAGCCAGGGAGAAGCGAGGAAACCGAGACCATCTCGTGTGCGTCACGACTAAACGTTTCTGGTTTAACGCAGAAATCATGGTAATACAATGAAAATTGATACGAGAATACGTGATGCAACATATACCTATAGACAGTGACTGGAACTTGGGTGTTTCCTGGTGTTTTTAGACCCAATACATTTTGTTCTCCACAAATATACACTGGAAAGAATGTAAAAAATTGTTCTCTGTGAGCGACGTCAGATGGAGGCAAGCTATTCCTGCAACTTCAACAGCATCGCGCGCCACACTCACGACTGAACGAGGGATACTGCCTGCGGGTTACAGCCGAATCTCTCCACCATATCACACATAATCTTTCCTTGCGATGCATTCAGTGCCCAAGTCTGTTACTGCTCACCAGCTTATGTTTAGCATATGCTTAACTTACCTATCGTCCAACGACACCAATGCGCTCACACCGGGCCCAGTCCCACACTTAAAACAACAGCGTCTCCCGACGTGCCAGAGAGAAGCGCGGAGAATATCTTGCACGCGGCACCATTCAACGCTTCTGGATTGTACGTAGAAATAATTGCAACACAAGAAAGATTGATACGAAAGTATATGACGCAAACGTTACATGTACCCCAATATACAAGGTGAATTAATCATATATTGACGAATAAGTTATTTTTCAATCTTTTTAGATCGTACTTTTATTGAAGTTTTATTGGAAACTGTCAAAAATGAATATTGTATGGAACGTATAATGGTGACGTCAAACATCATCCCAAACACTCGCTCGGGCACGTGGAAAACCACGGCTCCGCGAGTCTCCGGCTCTTGGAGGGGATTTAGCATTGGAGACAAAGCATATTCTCCACCAAGAAATCCGAGCTGAATACGTGATGAACATGCATAAAAGGGTCATCAAACAAAAGTATGAAATTTTTTCTATCGATCTACGGAGCGTCCTCACAGAATCATGATCCGTGTATAAAGCTAAAGCAGAGCTTCTTGTTTTCCGTTGAGCAGAACTTCTACTGGTGCATTTATATGATTATTCACGTTTTTTGACATCCACCTTTTGTTTTAGCCGGGTTTTGCCAACCAATATTTTTTACAAAATCAATACGGTCCTAAAAGCAATGTCAAAACCGACAAATAACCTAACGCGGCTCTGCCGTTGATGACTGCTATGGCGTGCGCGCCATTTACGTAACCTACCAATCTTGTTTTGGAGGAGCCGCGCGAGGAGCGGTGATACCGCGGCTGGTTTGTGGTGTAGATAAAGGCAATATATTAATTTAGTTCAGTGTCATACACTCCGAAAAACATTGTATTTGACTTAACGCCAGTGAGTAGATGTAGTGATGCTAACCTTATGTGACTGGGTTGCTCCGTGAGGATGAAACAATTCCTCCACCCCTGCAGCGTTCGCATCCGAGCCCCGACCACGCAGCAGCCTGACTTCTCAGGAGGTGTAGCTTTGTACGTGATTTGGTGGAGCGGGTGACCAGAGAATTCTTTCATCCCCCTGAAGTGGAGCAAACCACGTTCTCCCCGATTTTGACCATGTTTTTTTTTTTCTCAAAGCTGGGGAGGGGTTGGCATCCCACCCAACTAATAGGGAACTACACACTTGTTCCCAAATTAAGTACATCTAGCAAATTCGCTTGGGTTATTTTGTTCTCACTACAAGCCGTTATTTCAACATTTTGTTCTCTCCCCCAAAAGTCAAAGCCAATCATATATTGACGAATAAGTTATTTTCAATCTTTTAGATCGTACTTTTATTGAAGTTTTATTTGAAACTATCAAAAATGGATGTTATTTACAGCGTATAGTGGTGACGTCAAACATCATCCCAAACACTCGCTCGGGCACGCGGAAAACCACGGCTCCGCGAGTCTCCGGCTCTTGGGGAGGTTTTAGCATTGGAGAGAAAGCATATTCTCCGCCAAAAAATACGAGCTGAATACGTGATGAAAATGCATAAAAGGGTCATCAGACGACATAAATTTTTTCTATCGATCTACGGAGCGTCCTCACAGAATCATGATCCGTGTATAAAGCTAAAGCAGAGCTTCTTGTTTTCCGTTG